AATTTCATTTTAATTAACCAAATTAATCCTTATTATAATCAGCTATTTTCTGTAATTAATTAACAATTAGTAAACCTTTTTTAATTAAACTTTTTATCTTCACGTTTATCAGTTTTAATCCTTTTTCTTAAAGGTAATAATTTGTTTAAAACCCATTATTTATATTTAAATTAACTTTTATATAATAAAATTACAACTTGTATTTAACAAAATAACTTTTCTTTATACTTATAATTTATTTCTAAACTAATTTCAATTAAATCATAACTTAGTAATTTATAATTCCAAAATATTAAAATCATTTAATCCTAAGAGAAAATCCACTTTAGTAAAACCTTTTTTCAATAAAAAGCTTTTATAACATGACTATTTATTAAATAAGATCTCCAAAATATAATAACAACTAAGTTTATTGTATAATAAAAAGACCTATTTCATAAATTTAAAAATAACTTATAATAATTCATAATAACCAAAATCTACCTACACTTTAATGAAACTCATTTTATTTAATCCTTTTCTTAAAATTAATCTCATCAAATTAATAAAACCTTTGTGCTAATGAAATTAATTCAACATTTCGCTTAAAATCAAATTTGCTTATAATTCATATATTTTTCTTATAAATCAATTCAACCTTTTTTAATCAAAATTAACCAGTTAAAATCAATCCAACCATTTTCCCAATCAAAATTAATCAAACTCGCTTAAAATCAACCGTGCATGTTTCCATCCCTCGCACCGATTTACACTCACAATTCACACACTTAGCGCTTTCATGCGTGTGTATGCTTTACTTCCTGCAATTTTACAGTAGTTTACATTACCGTCATTTATCTTACCGCATCGCATTCCGTCCAAAGGAAAAACCTACACATAAGTCAACACTTGTGTGTAGGGCATATCATTTGCATCATAATTCCCATGATCTTTGATCCCATTCAAGTTGATCTTTAGGATAGATCCTACCCCATAGGAAGGACTGTTCTTTATTTTTTACAACATAGACAAAAAAAACAAAAAAAACAATTCAAAACAATTATTCAAACACAATAGAGAAAAGATGCCAAATCATCTTAAGCGAGATAGAATCTCCACTCCCACAACAATACAATCAAGTCGTAGGGACTTTGCCTTAAGAGAAATAAAGGCATACTCGTCAAACAATCCGAGTACTTAAGCCTTTTTCTTAAGACGATGCAAAGACTATTTTCCTACATCTTGTGGCGGTTATATCTCCCTTAAAATGAAGACACATCTCTTCTCCTAAAATCAATCAATCCACTATCCTAAACCCGTAGGAACTTTGACCACAGTCAAAGAACTCCTCAAACCCTTTAGGGGAACTACAGATACTCTGATTCCACTCCCGTAAGGATATGTAGGCATAAAATGCGACATCTTATCGAGTATACTTAGAAATAAACCCCTAGGTCTTATACCTTAAGCAGATAAACACTTAGCGATAAACAAACATAAAACAAGAGGTTCCTGTAGAGTACTACAGAAACTTAGGATGCTAGCACCTTCCCTAAGTTTAACCAACCCCCGAACCTAAAACTCTCTACCTTGCATTTGCATTGCATTGTGGGAATTTCGATCTTTATCCCTTCCTTTGGACAAATCAAAGTTCGGTTGCAAATTGAATTAAAGATTCAAACTAATCAATAGTTTGGTATCCGATTTTCACTGCGACAATGTCTCTTTGTCAAATCAACAACATGTTGCTTCTGATCTGTGGTCAACCTACCAACAAAGGAATGACCTTCTAATCTATCAAGTAAACCATGGTTATGAACTCCACATTTTACATCAACATTTCATCCAGACCGATTTTAAATGGACATCCACATTTTTTCCGTTGCACTTTGGGTACCACTATCAGTATCCTTGTGTTTCTCACCTTTATCACAACCAAATATTAATTTGTTACTTCTTCCTCTCTTGCTTGTTTCAGTATCATAACGAATGATAATAGCAATTACTTTATTTCGGATTTCAACCTCTTTAATCCACCTTATCACCTCTTCTCGTGTACTAAATTTTTTAGTAGTTGAAAAAAGATCAGAAGTATCTACACATATTTTTGGAGGAATTTCCATACCTACACTATAAAAAAATAAAAAATAAAATTTATAAAAGCAAACTAGATCACCTTAGGAAAGAGTTTCAGTATGTAACCTTACTAAATATAAGTAACAAACCGGATGACTTCCAAAAAGTGTTATGGTATAGGTTTTGTAACAAACATAAACTCTTTTGGTTAGTCTTCTAATATACGTTTTGTTATAAACTGAAACTTTTTGTTCAAGTTTTTCGGAAGAGATAATTAACATATCGGAAGTCTTGATTGAAGTCTTCCGGAAGTCTTGCTTTCGTTTTCTTAAACTTTCTGAATGTCTGACATAAATAATAAAAAATAAAAAATAAATAAGAGTAAAATTGTCATTTTAAAAAGTGTAAAAATATTGGTATAATTATAGGGATATGAAGTAAATTTTTTTGAATATTAAAAAGTCTACCTAAGCTAACAATAAATAAACGTCTAATTTCTTTTTTGTATTGTTAGAAAGAGTGTGAGTTAAATTTTTGTTGGTTTTTAATATAAATGTAGTCAAAGAAGTGATTTTTTTATAAAATATAAGAAGCTTTGACAAACTTTCGTTGTTCATATTTTTTTATAAATTAAATCAGATCATTAAAATTAAGTAAAATAATAAAATTTAATGGACAATTTAATAATATTGTTTCACCTTTACATTTAAGTTAAAAGTTAACTAAATTGACTAAGACCCACTCCAACGGGAGTTCTTAGAGTGGGTTTGCCAACATGGCACTCATATTTGTTGTTTTTAAGATGGAAAAGTTCTTAAATATGCAACGGTTCTTCAATGGTTCTTATATTAAAATATTAATTTTATAATATAAAAATTATAATCTAATATATAATTTTATTTATTATTTTAATTATCATTTTAATTAAAATTTAAATATTTAAATTATAATTTTAAATAAAATAAATTTAATATAAATAATATTTTTTTAAGTAAAGTGGTGGGACCCAATATAGATTCTTTAGAGTTGCACCATTAGAGTAAAAATTGAATGAATTGCTTTAAAAGAGTGGGTCCCACAAAGAACCTAAAAATGGGTTGCACCATTGAAGATGCTCTAACGGTATTTAAGAACTAAAAAACAATGTTTATTTTATTAACTATGAAGCCAAAGCAAAATAATGACTAAAAGGTAGAATTAAATCTAAAAAAGTCAAGAAAAAAGTACTTTATAATCTATAACAATCAAGTCATTAGTCAAACATGTACATTGAGATACAAGTTCGCATTTGATTTATTGTTTTTACACAATACGTTACACAATTGATAGAATTAGTAGTTTAAAAACTCTCGACTTAGACAAAAAAAAATGTTCAAAAAACTCTATCAGACAATTATTTACATGAATTGTTGATATGTTTGCCACTGGTACAGCATAATTTGCTCTTTAAATGAGAAAATAACTTAAATATGAAAACAATATTCCCAGTTAAACCACTCGGATTAGTCATTGTACACCAAAAAGAAAGTGCATGATTAAACTAGATAAAACCAAGTATTTGATGGTTGTAGGGGCCGTAATTGAGAGTAGGCAATATGAATTATAGCACATAGATGGTTGTAGGGGCCGTAATTTGACAGTAGGCAATATGAATTATAGCACATGGTCTCAAATTTTTCCACAGCTATACCTATGACTAAATAAGGTCTCATAATATATTTGTCAGAGTTACATCATGACTAAATAGACCTCTAGTTATTTTGTTAAGGTTGAACCGCTACTAACCTACACAGAACCTTTAAAATTTTAAAACGGCTCTCAATGCTTGAGTTTATGCTTAGTTACAGAACAAGTTAAACACCTTATAAAACCAAGGAATTTGACAGGACAAACTATATATTTTTGAATTCAACTCATGCTTGTTTCAATATTCAAATTCCATTATGCCCCCAAATATGCTGACATCATGCTTAAAAAATTGAATGATACGGACGCTCATCCATATCCATATACAATCAGAAATAGTGCCTTAAAGGTTACATAAAAATACAAACAATCATTTTATAGTTTCTAGATACCAAACTAGAAAGAACTATATAGCTCATTTGTAACTGTTTAACTGAAATCTACCTGAAAGAATAATTTGCTTTTAATTACTTTCCGTATAACTCTTCCAGAAGAATAATGCCACCTGCAACCAATTAAAATGATTAGCAGCATAACAACAGCAGCAACAACAATAAAAATATTATTCTGACAACGTGGGCTTGATTACATTATAATTTTTCCAACAATCCCGGTGCAAGAATTATACTAAAACTAAACCAATCAACATGATTGACAGAGAATCAATGATATACAGTGTTGGGGTTAGATGGCCTCAGCATAGAGTCAGATGCAGAAAGGTTAAAGTTTCTTTGATTTGATAAAAGTGAAAACAAAATGACATTTTTGTAATTAATAGTGATGATAACAGAAAATAAAAATAGATAATGCTTTCTCAAACTAAAAAAATGTCACTTTATTTTCACTTAGTTTTTTTTTGGAGTTTTTGCCATTACAAATATTTGAAACCAGAAAATAAAACAAAGTGAAATTTTTTCAACAGAAAAAGCTTTCCCAAATAAAAATACCCTCAAGAGTGGTTTACTTTTGGTTTTTATCTTCAATTGATAAAACAAAATGATTGTAAGTCGTGAGAACACTTATTTGATTTATCCCATCTGTCATAAACGCATATGTTCAACTTCACGACCTATCTATCTTAAAATTATATGTTCAATTTCATGAGCTATCTGGTAATTATTTCCGTGGTTAAAGAAAATAGGAAGAGAGTTGTTCATACCTACTAAATGTCATGCTTCCATTTTTGAACATTGGATTTTAGTTTCATTAAAATTTCTAGAACTAATGTCTTCGAATGGCGCACAAAGCACTGCATGAACTCACTGGACAACAAAAACAAACAGTAAAATAACATGTAAGAATCAAACACAAACACAATTGAAGTTATTAGCTTTTAGCCAAAAATAGCATCTAAAATAAAACATAAAGCACACAAGCAGGCAGTCAGAACTACCTTTTTGTAAGTAAAGAAAGGAAAGGGTTAATGAAGTAGCTTTTGCAAGTTTCAGTAAACAAAGATGGAAGCTAGAAGGGAACAGAGAAATAAGTTTGTGATTAAAAATCCCAATTGTTCCACTTGATTTGGGAACATTAGAAGATTTTAACATTTTGAAGTAGAGACTTTAACATTTTGAAGTATAAAAAGCATAATGAAGAGATCTACATCCTATTAAAATATTAGTATCATATAATTTCACTTAAATGCCATAAAACTAAAAAGTCAGAGCACCTTTAGCCTTGGGGATCTTCTAGGGAGGACCATAACACCAGTTTTCGCAATGCTTCTTAAAATTCTTGCAGCAGGTTTACCACTTGAACCTTGAATCTCGGGGTATCTGTCTTTCCTCTTTTTGTGAAGTTCCGTTTTGGAAACCTGATCATCATAATCTAGGCGAGACTTCTTAAGTGGGTCATCAAATTGGGAGCATCTGAAAGCAAAGTATAAATATGCGCAAATCAGTTGCAAAAGAAGCTAGAAAAACACAGGCAATTGTAACTAACAAGAGTAATTACCCTGAACGCCTCCTTCCATCAACACTCTTAGCCGCCTTCTGCAAAAATTGGAATGCTTTAATATTGTAGTTAAGTTTACATACAAAAAAGTAAACAATATGTACATGTAAATAACAACGCAAGAAGAAGAAAAGTATCACTCAAACTTGTTAGGAGGAAAATATTTAAATGATAATCAACAATTGCTTATCATAAAAATGAAAAGTACAAATGGCTTTCAAGGGATGTTACAGTGTGAGATTACACAATCAACAACTCTAACAAAGAAGGAAAGTAAATTTGAAGAGCTACCTATGTAAACAAACAAATAGAACAACATAATACAGCAGCATACAAATACTGATCAAACTACAATGAAAAATATACAAATTCAGTTTATAAACCTAGACAATGAAAGATTTTTAAATCTAATTTTTGAGAAGCAAGATCATTCAGGTAATAGCATTTAGTAATAATACTAATCGTGTGATGAATTTTATTTAGCAAGTGATACTCGCATGCAAAACTGTATAATGCAAAGCTTAATAGATTTGCATATGACAGATAAGTTTCTTCAATTTACCTTCATGATCCAAAATTCCACCAGTAAAATACAATTATTATATACCAAGCACCAAATCATAAGTTAGAAGTTGAAAAACAATACTCATCAAATCTAAGGGCATCTATGCTCAGAGACAAAGAAGGAAATTTAATAGAAATTTCTTCTGAATGAGAGTGAGAAAAACGAAAAAGGTGTTACAAAACAAGTAACATCTCAAAAGGTAGAGAGAAAACATATACCCGAAAGTGTTTCATTTCAGGAGTGTTCTTCGGATCACTTAAATCCGGGGATCCATCACCGTCACCAGGTGAAACTGATGCATATTTATGACAACTTGCAACTTCCAAACTATGTAATTCCACAGAAATATTTAATGAAGCTCCAGCACACACCCCACCAGGGTTAACAATACAAGAACCCTTTGGAAGACCGCAATTCCCAGAACCTCCGTTGTCAGGCTTTGAGTGTTGAACCTCCAGCCTACCAGGATAAGACATTAAAGGCTTTGAACAATTTTCCAGTAAATCCTTTGCCGCTTTTACAGTCATTCTTTCACCATTATTTTCTTGACCTAATGCCGCAACACCGTCTTCGGTCAATTTCAACCCAGACAACGAAGATTTATCTCTTAAACCACTGAGATCTTGCCGAAGACTCCGAGATTTGTTTCCATTCACATTGTCACTTACACGAACCTCATTTTTAAACTTGTTAGTCCAATCAGACGGGGATGAAGTAAAATCAACTTCAAGACTAACTCCCTGATCTGACCAGACATAGAACTCAAACGACGAGCGAGGGAATTCTGTAACAGCTTTTATCGAACTAACAAAATCACTCTCCACCGAAGGTGTACCTCGTTCTACAACTCTACCATTATTTCGCCGCGCCGCTTTACCCCTCATTTTATTTTAAACCTAATGTGAAAGCTTCTTCCAGAAAACTAGTACTTCTTCAAAGCCTTCTGCAGATTCTTGTTTGTTCATACAAAGAAAATAAAAATAAAAATGCAATCAAAATCTAGTAACAAGATCAATATGTACTGTTCAATTCATATTCTATATTCATTTTTTCTAGCTTTTCAAATTTTGATAGATATTATTATTATCTGAAAAAAAATTTAAAAATTTAAAAAAAATCATTTAACCTAATTTGGAGTAGATTCTACAAGAACTTATAATATAAATTGAAAATAAAATAATCGCTTAAAACTTAATCGCGATGGTACATTGAAAAAATGAATACAAATCTATAGATATTGGAGAACGATGCGATGCGAGAGGTGAGAGAAAATGGAGAGAGAAACAATACTTACTAATAATGGAAAATGTTGCTGAGGAGAAGAAGAAGACGCAGCGAAGTGGTTGCTGAGGGTAACGGCGGGGTTTCACTTCCGAGTTCAAACTTTGAAAAGCGACCCAGTGAGTGAGTGGTGGTTTGGATGAATTTAAGAATGAACCAATACAACGGCGTTATGAATGTAGTACGGATAATTGATTATTTACGGTTCAGCTTTTCTTCGTCATGCATAAATAATCACCGGAGTACATCCAAACTGGTAATCTAAATAATAGGATGACCTATGTTACTGGTAATAGGATGCCCTTAACATAGGTCTACAACTTAGTCTATATAAATTTTGGTCAGGTCAATTTTTTATTTTTTTTAAATAGAAAAAATTTAGATTTTTTTAATAAATCTATTTAAATAAAATGGTTAGGTTACATATGGTAAGAAAAAACTTTTAAATTTATTAGATTGGCCTATTAAAAAAACGACTGAATAAATTTATTATTATTATATTGTATTTTATAAAAATAAAGCTTAGATATTTTAAAGAATTTATGAAAATAATTTGAAAAAACATTATAAAAAATGTCACAAGTTATTCTTATAAGGTTTTTACATAAATACTCTCCAACAAATAGTATTATCAAACTTATACTAATAGGTAAACTTGAATGAGACAATGAAAACAGATATTTAGTCTCATTGATCTTTTAATTTGTTAGTCTATTTAACATTAGTTAAATTTCTTATTTACAAAAGTTCAAATGAAATAGACTTTTAAATAGGCTAATAGGTCAATCAGACATTTAAAAATGTCAGACTTAAAAATAAGTCTATGATAGGCTACAAGTCAGACTTAGACTTTAAATATTTTAGCATGTCAGACTCAAGTTTGGCAAAGTCTAACTCGACCCAGCTTATTTTCACCCCTAATGTCAAGCTTCGCTCATGCATTAAAGGCATTTTAGAAATTTACAAATAAAAAAAAAAAAAAAACAATATATATATATATATATATATATATATATATATATATATATATATATATATATATATATATATATATATATATATATATATATATATATATATATATATATATATATATATATATATATATATATATATATATATATTCAAATATATAAAAAAATGTAAAAAAAATATTTAAATAAACATATTATTTTCTATATTTATTTAGGCGATTTCTTTTCTCATCTTTGTAATGTGATTCACACTTCTGAAATTTTGAAATTGTCCTTAGAAATTTTTGGAGATTGAACGTATCTTAAGTCATTTTTGTAAATCAAATAGCCATCTAAAATTTAATCGAAGATGCGTCCTCGGAAATTTCAAAGATGAATTCGAAATGCATCTCCAAAAACTCTAAATTTCATTTACTATATGTTTTCCATTGAAATTGACGTTGTTGTCGGGAACTCATCGTTGATTTTAATCAATATTAAAGTCATGAGAATTGTATCCTCGCATTTTGGCCATTGTGTTCCTGCGTTTTGGCCTTTACGCGACCTAACATAAAAAAAATCAAAATTATGGGACATCACCCTAAAAATCCTAAATTCCTTGTTTATTTATTTTATTTATTTATTTTTTGTTTTCATATTTTTGGAAAATATTTGAAGAAAGAAAATCGACAGCCTCTTAATTTGATTTGATTTGATTTTTTAGTCATATTTTTATAATTTTATTTTAATCATTTCTTTATTTATCAATTGTTTTTTTCAATAGTGACATTGTTGATATTTACAGTTTTGTTGCATTGTTAATGCATGACTATTAGGGCTATCTATTCGAATACATTACACTACATACTAAATTTAAAATATAAAAAAAAAACACACAACATAGCACTTTACGAATATGTATATCCGAAAACACCTTTTTTGTATAAAAAATATGGTGCATCCGGAGATGCATGTCTAAGATTAATTAAATAGAGGTGAATCACTCATTTGCGTTAAATTTTGTGGAAAATAAGTGCGTCCGAAGATGTATCTCCGAATTCTATGGATATTTTTAAATTTTCACCAAGTGTTTGTGAAAAAGTATAAGGCTGGGAAAATAAATTCTCTTTATTTAATGAGTAGTGTTAACAATATTTTTAAAGATACTACCCATAGGTGGATTTTCACGGTTCTTTCACAAATGGTAGTCAAAGCCACTTTTTTAGGGAATTTCTTATCCCACTCTATGAGGTGGAAAAGAACCCTATGGAATTTCAAAAACACACCTCAGCTTTTTAGAAATGCATCTCTGGACGCGCTTCATACATACAATTCATTCATTTTTTAGCTACGTCTCAGTTTTATGACTAAATTTATTCCAGAAATGCATTTCCGAAATAAATTCAATCATAGTGTCTCGAAAACGAATGAATTGAGTGTGTTTATGGTGCGTTCAGAGATGCATCTCTGAAATTTAGGGGCATTTTTGCATTTTCACGCGGTGCCCTAGTAATATATATGGTGCATTAAGAAATGCCTTTTCTAAAACCAACCAAATTCACTTATATATTAATGAAAGTGTCAACCAAGGCCATTATGTTTGAAGTTAATGGATATTTAATTATTGTTGGCATATTTGGCTCGCCTTCGTCTGTTTTATTGGAGAGTTTCTCTATGTTCAGCATTTGACGAGCCTATCATCTACGAAAGAAACTAGTCTCCCCGCCTCTAGAAAATCTCCTTCCAATAGTATTAAGCGTATGATGTACGTATTTGTTATCATCGCTTATGGATGCCTATTTTGCCTTGTTGTGTTTAGGGCTTCTTGCGTTATCTCGCCTACGGGAGTTGGGTTTGTCTAATCCACAGAAAGAATCGTCATTAATGTACTTCTTGAGGTGTATTGTATCAGCCTCTCGATTTATTTCTTGAGCTGGTAACAGTCTTCAGTGTGGTTCCTTTTAACCCTATAGAACTTGTACCATCTATTTGGTTTTTAGGAGCTGAAGGCGTAGAAATGTTGTGCAGGTGAAGGAACCCATGCCAAATATGTTCACGGCGAGTGTTCAGAGGTGTGAAGTTATCCACTATCTTGCATATTCTCTTGAATGCAATTTTGTCCTTGATGGTAAGGGTGTAGTTACTCTTCCTTTGGTGGTGTGAGCGTTAGCAACACGCTCTTTGATGTCTCGCACCTTCTTCTCGATGTTGCTCTCCTCACCTTTTATGTAACATTCTACCCTGGAAACTATTTTGTCTAATGAAAGTCATGAATTTTGAACGATAGACTCATTGAAGTGTCTCGCCTTGAGACCATTCTAGAACGCCCCCAAGAACATTTCTTGATTTGGGGGGATGGCCCTTATGGTAGCTTTGTTGAACCGGGCAAAGTAATCCCTCAATGATTTTGAGGGACCATATTATAGGTTGAACATGATGGTGGTAGTGTCATACCCCAAATTTGTCCTACCTGTATATAATTTCCATCTGTGCATCCGCCCACTGATCATTATTCAAAAATTCCAAAAAATATGTTGCTCATTCAAAATCAATCAAGGTTGTGGTATGCAATTCAAGTGGTGTGTGTTTGAGGTTACAGTTAGGGTTTGTGTGTCATTCAGATCATTTATGTATGGATTAGGCTATTAGGCTATGACAGGACAAGTATTCTATAAATGATTGGTTCTTTTGAATTAAAGTGTTATGCAATATATTGAGATTCATGTGACATGTTGTTTCAGTGCATCTGTTGCTCATTTAGTTCATATGGAAATAATTGTTTTCATTGGTGCAAGTGAGAAATGTAGATAGTCACTGGTTCAAGGTCTCAATCCATTCAAAGTTCAAAATTCATGCAAAGTTCTAATTCATTTAAGTTTAAGATAGGTTTATGCTTGAATCTATTTCCCAAAACCAATTCGGGATTTCATTTTTATTGAAAATTCTAAAAAAGGTGGAATTTAGTTCTTGGATCAACGGGAGAAAGTACAAGTGTTAATTGTCATGATTCGAGAACTGCGAGTTTTGTTTAAGCTCAAGGCATTTTCATAATCAAGATTTTCAAGCAAAAATGTGGAAGACCATTTATGTTTTAGTTTCATTACTAAATGAAAAAGTATTCAAAGTCCATACACATTGCTAAAAAAATCCCAACAACATGCCTTTTCAATTGCCAAAGTCGTACACCATAAGCTGGGCCAAAGAGGGACAATTCGTGTAATTTTTAGCCTTCACCAATACTTTCACAGCAAAATAAATAAAACCATGAGCCAAGAAACAATGTAAATGTCATCAGCTACAACCCAAAACAAACTTATCGCAAAATGCAAAGTTGTAATTGCTAGTTTTACGCGACTTGCACATAGAGGTGTGCATGGATTATAAACCAAACCAAACCAAATCACATATATGGTTTGGTTTGGATCTTAACACAATATAAATTTAAATAGAACATAGAATACTAGATTTTTTTTACTAGGTACAGTATTTTCAATGCGCAATAAATAATGAATATTACATAATCTATGCTTAATTTCAAATTTAAAAGGATTGTTCTCAATATATCTCGTCTACTGAACATAGAATGAATTTTTAATGTATATTATGCAGTAGTGCACATCCTATAATATAAAATCATATTCTCTTGAATT